GGGGCATATAGATATAAGCCATAACAGAAAGAAAGAAAACTAGCAATTGTTCACTTTATTATGTATATGTACCTAATAAAATAATATATATTTTAGCACTAGGGGTTGAACCCAGGGCTTTCCCACTGAGCTACATTCCCAGTTTTTTATTTTTAGTTTTAATTTTTTTTTTACTTTTTATTTTGATATAGGGTTTCACTCAGTTGCTAAATTGCCCAAGCTAGGCTCAAACTGGTGATCTTGCCTCACCTTCAGGAGTGTTGGGATTACAGGTATGTGGTACCATACCTACTCTCAAACTATTTTATTCTTAGTAGCACAATCTTTTTTTTTTTTTTTTTGGTTCTGGGTATCAAACTGAAGACCTTGCATTTTCGAGGCAGGCATAGTGCCACTGAGCTAAATCTCTGGCCCAGTAGTTCAATCTTTTTATGCAGTAATGTTTTAAAACAAACTATAGGCTGAAGCTGTTCCTCAGTGGTAGAACATGTGCTTAGTGAGCATGTAGGCAGACCTGGGTTCTATCCCAAGCACCAAAAGCAAAAACCTGCATTTGTATGAAATAAAAATAGAATTGATTATATGAATTACTGAGAGGTTTCTTTCTCTCTCTTCCCTTCACATTAGTGGACCCAATGAAAGCTATTTGAAATACTAGGGCTCAGGGTTGAGGGTTTGATTCCCCAGCACTGAAAAAAAAAATCACCTCCTGTGTGCTAAGAATATAAATAAGAATGGATATATTTAATTGTAACATACAGCGATCATCTAACAGAACAAACTTTCATGGAGCTTGTCTGCTGATATTGACTTAAATTCACTTGTTTTATCATGTGGGAATATAAGTTACGTGGTGGAAATATAAGACTAATGTTGATTCAAGACTATTGTCTTATTGTACTATCTTCTCAAAGTACAATCAGTTGAAAAGGAAGCATTGTGTTAACAAGTCTGTTTTGAAATATTTGCCAAAATTTTGGTAGTATTTTTGATGAAGGTAATTGTCTCCAGAAAAAGTTTAAAAAAGGAAAAGAAAGGAACAACAACAAAAAAACACAGGACACACATTCGCCTGGATCCCTTCCGGGTGTGCATTTCTGAGGCTGAGGTCATGCACCTGTGTGAACCAGCTGGGCGGGACCCCGCCTCTGGCTTGGCAGTGGGAGCCCTGCATGAGGCAGGCATTGCAGAGCAGAGGAGTGAGCCTGGCCTGTGATATTCAGCCTCACTGTGGTTCCTTCACCCTTCACGCATCAAATCTTGGGGCATCTCTTTCCTTTCTCCTAAGGCAAGTGAGGGTCCCCCCTCCTAAGTGAGGCAGGTCTGGGCTGGAATGCTGAGTGGCCTCGGTGGAATTGGACACTCCCGGGGCCTGAGCTGTCTCCACATCAGGTTCATGTTTTTACCACCCCCGGTCGTGTCCTCTCCTAGGCTGCCATTGGTTGTTGGTCTCAACTGGGTTTAGGAGCTCCAGCTCTGTCAAGATTATAACTGAGAATCTGGACTTGCCCAGCCTTAACCCAGTTTGTGAATAAACTCCAGGGTCAGAGAGGAGGGGCCTGACTTAATCTCTGTGTCTCTGAAAACATAAACATAAACTCTGCCAGGGAAAGTTACCAGGGCAAAGGTGGAGGTTTTCTTTTACTCTGCAGATCAGAACGGCAGAAGCTGGTTTAGCAGCTGATTAATACTCACCCCTCCTTGCTTCCCAGCAACAGGGCTGGGCCCCCTTCCACTGGCTTCCCATTTCCTTCCCGAGAGACTCACTGTGCCAGCCACCTGCAGGCTGGCTCCAGAGGCCAAGTGGGAATTTGGCTGGAGATTTAAGTGTTTGCCAAATCAGAGGAAAAGTTCCAGGCCCTTCTCAAGGCCAAACCCACTGCTCATAATCTAAGAATGTGGGGATTGGGAGAAAATCAGGGAGGGTGGGCCAGCCTGGGCTTCTCAGGATGAGGAATAGCTTGTATGTCTGACAAGCTATCAGGACATAGCAGTGGGGTTGCATCACAGCAGGGGGTGCAGGCAAGTAGTCTTAAAGGTCGAAGCAGGTCTTGTGGAAGAAAATAGGTAGAAGCCTGGCCTGGAGGTGCACACCTCCCAGCACTCTGGGGGCTGGGGCAGGAGGATACCAAGTTCAAGCCCAGCCTGGGTAACTTAGTGCTTTAGTGAGACTCTGTCTCAAAAAAAAAGGACCATGAAAGCTCTGGGTCTCATCCCTAGTGCTAAAGCAAAAATCTTAGAGAAGGACAGAGTTGAACTGGAGAGTAGATGTTTAATTTATCTGAAAGGGACAGTCACTGTTCACATTGTTCTGTGCAAAAGTAAGCTCATGTCTCTTTCAGCTTTTTTATTTGTTTTTTTGTGTTTTGTGACAGGGTCTTACTATGTAAGTCCACACCAGCCTTGAACTTCTGTGAAGCCCAGGCTGGCCTTGAAGTCATGATCCTCCTGCCTCAGCCTCCTGAGTATAGGATTACAGGTGTGTGTGCCACTAGGCCTGGATCTCTTTTGACTTCATAGAGGACACTGGGATCCTCAATTTTTTTTTTTTGGTACCGGGGATCAAATTCAGGACCTTGTGCTTTGGAGGCAGGCAGCAGAACCACTGAGCTAAATTCCTGGCCCAAGCCCAGATTTGATACAAGTTTTCCATTTGTAGCATGATGGCACAATAAACAAAATACTTGCTGTTGATGGGTGTCTTAGTTACTTTTCTCGATGCTGAGACAAAATACTGGACACCTAAAGTTACAGGAGGAAAGGTTTATTTAGCTCAAGGTTTGTAGATGTTCGGTCCATAATCAGCTGGCTGCAAGGCAGGGTGGCATTGCAGAAGAGGAACAGTTCATGGCAGCAGAATGTAGCAAAGCAAGCAAGGGACAAGACAAGCCTCTTTCCTTCCCTCATATTGCATCCAGTCTACCAGGATTAGGGCAGCACCAAACCAATCAGTGGACTGATGTAGTAATCACCTACTCTCAGTCCTCGAACCCTTAATCTTAGCATTGCACCGTGAATCGATCACACACTCTAGAGTCAGCCACCTCTGAAAAATCCCCATCTATGACTGCATGAGCCCTTGGGGGGACATCTAGGTACAAACCATAACAATGGGTTTATATCCAGGATACCGGTGACCCCAGGTCAGAGCCCTGGCCCCAGGAAGCCCTCTCCCTGTACTTTTGCAGTACCAGTTCTTAGTTTTCAGACCCTGTTAGAATCAGCCCTGTCAGTTTTAGCCAGTGCCTGGATGTCCGTGAGGACAGGTCTTAGTCAAGGGACCCGCATTAGCTGTTTCCTATTATGCTTGTAACAAATTATTGGGACGCTCAATGGCTTAAACAATATGCAGTTAGCACTTCACAGTTGGGCAGGTCAGAAGTCTGGCAGAGATGTCACCGGGCTAACATCAGGCAGTGTCAGCGGGGCTGTGTTTCCCATTTGGCTTTTTTTTTTTTTGGTACTGGGGATTGAACTAGGGTTCTTGTGCTTTCCAGACAGGTGGTGTAAGCACTGAGCTAAATCCCCAGCTCGGCTGTGTTTCTCTATGGAGGTTTCGGGAGAGAAAGCCACTCACATCAGGAGTAGGGGTCACTGTCCTCCCATCAAGTCTGTCACCACTGAAAAGACTCTGCCCTTTCAAGGGTTCATGTGCCTGGGCCCACCCAGGCGCCGCATAGTCAATCTCTGCAGCTCAAGGAGCCATGGTTGGATTCGGTCTGTCCCCAAGGGCTCATGTTCTGCGGACGTTGAGGTTTGGGGGACTTTTAGGGGGCATAGAGGGCAGTGGTGAAGTCACTGGTGCTGCACAGGGCTGGGATTCAGGTCGTTCTCGGGGACCCTGTGTAGTTTCTGTGAGGCTGAGTTATAACGAGCAAGGCTGACCTCTGAGTCTCCCTCTGGCCCCTGCCTCCTGAGTGCTCTCTCTGTGTCACTGGCCTCTGCCGTTACAGGATCCACCACAGTGGGACACGGCCAACCCCCCAGAGGCCAAACTGCTCTGGCCACCTGATCTTGAAGTTTCAGCCTTCCAGACTGTGAGCTAAACAAACCTCTTTTCTTTATAAAGTATCAAGTTTTAGTACTTTGTTATAGCAATGGGAAATAGACTAATACACCTGGAAAGGTGGCATATTCACAGATTCCTGGGATGGGGTGTGAACAGTACTCTGAAACTTTTGGATGTTTTGTCTCCTACCTCCCACAAAAAAATGTCCTAGGACAAATCTATGGCAAATAAGGTTTATCTACCTTATTACCTCATCGATTCTTCTACTTGAGTTTCCTTCCTTCCTACTTTTCTATTTCTTTTGCAGTTCAGAGGATGGAATCTGGGGCCTTCTGGACACTAGGCAAGCATTCTATCACCAAGCTACTCCCCAGCCCCAAGTTTCCTTTACTTTAAGGGGTCTGCTTCTAGCAGAGGCTCTTAGGTACAGCAGTGCAGAGCCCTCTAGAGCCACATAATTCAGAGCTAGTCACCTGTCTGCTTCCAGCTACACCTCTCCTGTGCCCAGAAGCAATAGTTACTGTCTGCTGCTGCTGCCACTCCCTGTGGGACTCCCCAGCTGGGCTTAGGTGTGGGGAGAAGGTTCAGGCACCCCCCCCCCCCACAGCCAAAGCTCTAGGGCCTGCAGGGCCGGAGTCAACACTGCAGAGGGAGGGAGGGGAGAGTAGGCATCGACTTGGCTCTCAGCTCCCTCAGTCAGCTGGAGGCACAGCCAGAAACTAACATGGGTCCATTTCTTCCTGCTAATTTTCTGATCTCTCGCTTGGGTTCCAACGGTCAACTTCCCAAGAATAGAATGGGGGGAACCTGGACACTGAATTTCAGTTTTGGTAAGAGACAGCAAGGCCCACCTGTGACAGGTGCCATCCTAAATTGGCTTGGAGGATGGGACTGGATCTACAAATGTGATGATGGGGCTGCGGGCTCCCACTCTATCCCTTTGAAACACACAAGTGCTTCTAGAAGAGTCACCATCTCTAGAAAAGACAGAGAAATTCTCAATTCACTTTATTTTCAGATATAGACAATCAAACCAGGAAGCGTGGAGCTAGTAGGTCCAGAGGTTTGGGGGAATTTGCTCTATGGCAATTCCTCTTCTTCCCATACCTGACACCACATACACACACGTGCGCACGTGCACACACACACACAACTTCAGTGATGGAGTTGGAGGCAAAGCATAGTAGAATGAGTTAAACACACAGATTCTGGAGCCAGAGAACCCAGATTTTCCCTTTTATATTTACTATTTGTATTGTCCTTGGGCAAATTAGTTAACCTCAACTTTCCACTTCCTAAGCAATGACAATTACTCAGAGTTTTCATGAGGATTAAATGAGTTACTGTCTGTAAAGACAGAAGAGTTTGTGGTTGTAACCATACCATGGCTTTGCTAAATAATAAACATATACAATCTGCTCTATGGGGATAATCTGGAAGCCTATTCTTTAGTCAAATATTCTTTAGAAGCCATATTTCCCGCCTAGAAGTTAGAATTAAATTCTCAGGTTATTCATCATGAAAAAAATTAGGGAACATTCGAACTGTACTAATATGGTTGTGGCAGTTTGGGTACACTCGTAGTAATATGCTTTCTAGAATAAAACAAAGGCAGTGATAACCTATTGTCTTCTGTACTGATCTAGTTACAGTTAGTCCTTCTGAGAGCACAAGTTATTTTTGATTTCTGGTTTCTTTTTTCTTCACAGTACTGGGGATAGAACCCAGGGGCGCTCAACGACTGAGTCACACCCCCAGCCCCACATCTGTTTTTGATTAAGCTTGATAACCAGATTGTGTTACCATCTTTGGATCAGTAGAGATTAAAAGAGAAAGCCATTATATCACCTCTGTCCATCACTCTCAGTGCTTTGGCACCAGGCAAAACACCAAGTCATAAATGGAGCAGATTAAGGGCTGGGCTTGATGTAATATTAATTTTCTGTTATCCCATCAGAACGGGGACTTCTAAAACTAGGAGAATGTTAGGCAGTGCTCTGCTACTGAACTATATCCCCGGCCCTTTTTATTTTGAGACAGGGTCTCACTACGTGGCCCAGGCTGGCCTTGGACTTTGCAATTCTCCTGCCTCAGACTCCCAAGTAGCCAGGATTACAGGCATGTGCCACCAGGCCTGGCTGGGTGGGGAGTTGATATAGAAATCAGGTTTAAAAATAGTTTTTAAAAATAAAAGTATTTAAGCGTCTGAACTTGTGAACAAAGGTCTATTTTAAACTCAGGTGAAAGACAAAATGTCAGGGTAGCAACGCAGAGTGGCTGCAGACCTGAAGTGTTTGGTCCTCTGCTTCCCCCTTGTGGACTCGCTGGAAATAACAGCTCAAGAGTCCCCAAGGCTCTATAGGAACTGGAGGTGGAGGTTTGCCAGGTGGTGGAGGTTTATTTACCGCTGATAGGAGGCGGTCAGGAACCACTGCCACGCCAAGCAAGGCTTGGATTCCCAGGAGAGAGGTGTGGCACTCTTTCAAACTGTCAATGACACCAAACGCTCTCCTCTTTTCCAGCATCTTTATTTTCATCCAGACACCCGGATCCACTACTGACTGCTCGTGGCCAGTCGTGCACTCTGCGATTCTTCTGGCTACCAGTAGCACGCACGGGCGCCACGCCGGCCCTCACACCTGCTCTTCCTGTGCTTGTGGTAACAGGTCTGTGGGGAATCTCCCTCAGTTTCACACCCTCTCGGCTGTCTCCATACTATGGTCTGCACACAACCCTGCATCATCAGGTTTGTGCTGCTGTATCTGTGGCTCCCTGCTTGGGCACAGGACAGAGATGGCCCTTCTGTTTGAGCAAGGGAGAGAGGAGAACACTTGGACACAAAGAGCGGAAGGGACTGCGTGTCACTGGGAATGCCTTGGCTGGAATCCAGTGGTGTCTCGGTCCCAGGACCTCCTTCTACCTACAGCCTAGCTGCCCCCTTCCTGGTCTGCATCCCCTGGGCACCTGGCCACCACACTGCCCAGCTTCACCTCCCATCCCCCTCGAAAAGGGCAGCAGTGGCCTGGGGTTTGGCCCCAGCAGAGGATGGGCTATTTGGGCTTTCTGCTACCTGCCACCTGGGCCTCTTTTCTCCAGGTGGAGCCAGGGACCCACATCCGGGCCTGGCCTGACCTCCTTTCCCTCCGCTCACGCCTCCAGTCCCTGCCGCAGCCTGCGGTCCAGGGCCAGGAGCTGCCTCAAGAAACCCCGGTTGGGGATGATGCCCCGGTGGTCCTTGACTTTCTTGATGGCCTCCACGAGGGTGAGGCGGTGATACAGCATGAGGTAGGCCAGCACCAGGGTGGCGGATCGGCTCACTCCCACGGCGCAGTGCACCAGGATCTTCCCTGCGAGGAGAGACACAAGAGATGGTGGGAGACAGGGGTGTTTGGGAGGAGGTGGGCCAGGGAGACAGGGAGCAGGCCAGCAGGGATGCTGATTCGAGGTGGCACCCGAAGGGACTAAGATGCAGAGTCAGGGCTGGGGGTGGGGGCTCAGGGCTAGGTCACACACCCAGCTTAGCACAGGCAGCGCCCTGGCTGGGCTCAACTCGCAGTACTGGGGAAAAAAGATGTGGATTCCCAACAGAGGGGGAGAGGCTCTGGCACAGTGGAATGGGGAGGGCAGGGCTCAGAGGTCGAGACTGCTCACCACTGTCAAAGTGAGCTTCCCAGAGCAGGGGCTTGGTGGACACCTTCTGAGCACATCGGTAGGAAACACCCTTGTGTCAAGTCTGGGCTTTGTTCAGTCTTCCTCACCACCTTTTCAGTTTTTGTTTTTATTTTTTGAAATGGGGTCTCCATATGTTGCCCAGGCGGTCCAGAAATCCTGGGCTTAAGCAAGCCGCCTTTGCCAGGCTCCTGAGCAGCTGGGCCTCAAGCATGTGCCACCGTACCTGGCTCCTATTTGCATGAGCCATCCCTTGTTATTCAAGATGACCTGCTTCCAGGGCCCCTGCAGATGTCCAAACCCACTGGTGCTCAGGGCCCTTCTCTAAAACAGCATAGTGTTCGCATGCAATATTCACACCTCCTCTCGTGCACTTTATGTCATCCCAAGGTTGCTATAACACTGAACACAACACAAGTGCTACACAAATAGTTATGGTACTGCCTTGTCCAGGGAATATTGAGAAGAAATGAAAAGCCCAAGCAGGTTCAGTACAGACTTCCTTTTCCATACCTTCGATCTATGGCTGGATGAATGCTTGGATTCAGAACCAAGTATACAGAGGGCCGATTGTATCTTTTTTTTTTTCTGATGACTAAAGTATTTTTCATCATGCTTAAGGTGAAAATAATTGGAAAGTGTTGAAATAAGTTTTAAAAAAAACTTTAAAAACTACATCGTTCACAATCTCACCATCTGGATACAATTGGCATCCCTAACCCTTCTCATAGTATCCATTCTTGTCCTTTCATGTATTGAAAAAAAATGGTCAAGGGAGTATTTTTTTTCCTTGACATTATGCCCTGAGCATTTTGTCCTAAACTCTCTCCGTTCCCAGCCCCGGGGCCTCTCCTGAACTCTGCTGCCCTTTCTCCTACCTCCCGGCTGGCTCAGCGCCCGGTGGATGAAGTCTGCAGCTGTCTGGAAGTGGATGCTCATGTCAAAGGCTGGTGAGTCGTGGGCCTCCACGCCCAGGTAGCGGATGCCCAGCCCCTCGTAGGCCTCGGGTGCACCTCGCCACCTGCTGTGTGAGGCGTTGAGGACATGGGTGATGCCCAGGCGGCGAAGCTCACGGCGGTTGTTGGCCATGTCCCTGTGTAAAGAAGAGGACAGAAGGGGGTTGGGGAGCCAGGCATGGACAGGGCTTTGCCTAGGTCCTGTCACTGCACCCAGAAGGGAGGAAGGTGGATGATGACTTGGAGTCTTTTTTTTTTTTGGATCAGGGATCAAACTCGGGACCTTGCACTTGTGAGGCAGGCAGTGGAACCACTGAGCTAAATCTCTGACCCGACTTGGAGTCTTTTTGTTTCTTCTTTTTTTGTGGTACTGGGGAATGAAGCTGGGACCTTTGCATTAAGCTACACCCCAGCCCTTGTTATTGTTTTAAATTTTGAGATGGGGTTTCAACAAATTTCTAAGCTGCCCAGGCTGGGCTTGAGCTCGTGACCTTTCTGCCTCAGTCCCTCGGAGTGCTGGGAATACAGGTGTGCATCACTGTGCCTGGCTAATGATTTGGACTCTTGTCATGTAAACAGTGGTTGTGAGAACTGAAGATGTTTTGTCTGAATAAGAGAAGACTAAATGAGTGGTGTGAAAATGGCCACAATAAAATGTTGAAGGAGCACTCTGAAGAAGCAGGGTTTTATTAAATTCCTTAAATGTAGAGCCTTGAAGGGAGAATGAAGATCAAAGGATTGAAGCCCAAGGAAACAAGATTTCAGTCTCTTGTACAGGAGTGCTACTAACAGGGGAATCTTGCTGGAGAGAGCTCGGGTCACCTTGGGAGAGAGTGATTCTCCTGCTGCTGAGCTGTTCAGGTGGAGAGAGGAGCTCAGCGGGTAGGTGTGGAGCTGCAGAGTGGGTCCCAGTGGCATCGGGAGGGTTCTGGGCCTGCTCATATTTAACATAGCCCTGCCAAGGTTGGGAATGTGGCTCACTGGTGGAGTACATGGGTTCCATCGCTCGTAACAGCAATTAAAGTATTTAATGCCTCTGGTAATCTTCAGATTATATGTTTCTAACACTTCTTCCCACACTTAATTCCTCTGTTACTTTCTACTCTCATTGTAACCTGGAATGCTTTTTTGTTTTGCCAGTTTTTCTATGGCTCATTTTACCCTGTTTTATAATGTCACCTCTGGGTGGCCATCCAGCCCCCAGCCCTTAGCTCTACTGTAGACACCTCTCAGGCAGAATGGTCCTGCTCAGCACCCACACTGTCTGCTGCAGTCTCCTGAGTAGAAAGAGCACTAAATTTGACCTTCCCAGTCCTGGTCTGCTGCTTACAACCTGTGTGACCTTGGGCCAGTCACAGCTTCTTTGAGCTTCAGTTTCTTTATCTGTGACGGAGGAGAGAGGTTCCTCTCTTGCCAGGCTGTTGGGGAGATTAAGAGTGAAAATGCACATGAAACCATCCCTGCACCCGCTGAACCCTGGGGGAGCGAAGTGGGATCACTCTTCCTGTGAGGTCCTCTCTCCGAAGACCCTGGCTACAGACTGCAGTTGTGCTTGGTCTCCAGGGAGCCCCTGTGGATGACCTCCCAGCCTTTCCATCTCCCAGGGCCTGCCTTTTCTCTGAGCCATGCCACAGCAGTTGGAAGGTCAGAGAAGTCATCTGTTGTGCCTGGCTGGGAAGTAGACTGGTACTCAATGCTAAACATTTGCTGCATGAATAACATTATTCCTTGAAAAGAGTTTTTCTGTCCAGAGTTCAGTGTTTCAATAATCCTATCCAAACTCCTCCAAAGCCACCAACTTCTCCTCTTGGCCCATGGACCTCCTCCCTTCAGTCCTCAACCTGGAACCAACACTACAGCTCAGTGTCTGTCTGCCACCCTTCTGCTTTCCACAAACACACACACACACACACACACACAAACACACACACATGCACAGCCACAATCCCAGCCTACCGAGTACCTACTGGTCACCAAGGTAGAGGCCTGGCCAGACCTCATCGGCGTGGTTGCAGGCTGTCTTGCCTGTGTACAGAAGTCTCTCCAGCTCAAAGACGTTGAGGAAGGGGTGCTGTATGGGTGGTATCTCTGCCAGGCTCCCTCTGGTGCGAACAGGGGACCTTGAGCTGCTCCGGGAGAAGCGGGCCATGAATGTCATGGAGGCCCAGAGCCAGTTCCCAGGACACATTGTAGAGGCAGGAGGAGCCGGGGCAGCTGCTGGTGACTGCAGTGATGATGGGGTTGGGCACCAGGTAGCCGTTGCTAGGAGAAGAATGGGTATGAGACTCACTTTCGTGAGTCCAGACAGCAGTTTCCCTTCCTGCCAGCTGGGCTGGGCCCTGGGGAGAAGGTGCTGAGGGAAGGCAGTCCCGGCTGCTGGGTGGGGTCCTCCAGGATGGACTTTTCCTTCGAGCTGTGGCAGCTCCTCTCTCGGAGCTCTTTGGCTCTGCCAGGCAAGGAGGTAGGAGAATCACATGTCCTTGTTTACGGGAAGAGGGAGCTGCCCAGCTGCTGGGTTTCTGCTCCACCACTCCACCCCCACAGCTAGCACACACACTCAGGGGCACACACACACACAAACACACAAACATTGGTCATCTGGGTGCCCTGCATGCTGCTGGAATCTAGGTCTCATCTGCCTTGGGCTCTAGCAGAGATCTAGGGAGCTAAGATGGGTTGGGGGTGGCAATGGACTCATCCAGGGAGAATTAGCAGGAAGGTCACAGCAGCTGGGGTCCAGACCTGTGCCAAGCCTGTCTCCTCAGGGCCAGAGAGAGGGAGTGCTGTAACCCATTCCTGACCTGAACTGTCTCAATGAGAAGCCTGGCATGGAAGTGAGTGGGGAACAGCAATAATGCAGAAGAGTTAAGTTTGGTAAAAATACTTTCTGAACGCAAGCTGACAGAAGAAGGCCCAGTCTATGCGCACAACAGGTAAACCATGTTCTTTTGATCAAAGCTCACCTCTCAGGTGAGGCTTTTGAGTCAAAGCAGCGCAGAGTGTAGTGTCTGTGTGGTGGGAGGGTCGAGGCTCAGGGTCTGGAGTGGGGGAAAGTAAATGGGCCTGCAGGGGCCCTGGCCTTGGAGGCTCAGAATCACCATCTTTATTGCTGTTGGAATCAACAGGCCTTGTGTCCATGAGTGCATGGAGTCAGCCAGGGGCTTAGCAGGTGGGCAGCCGGCCTTTCCAAAAGTGTAGTCTGGCTGTGGGGCTCCCAGCTGGGAAGGGACAGCCTGGAAGGCAGGCAGCAGGACCCCAACCCTCCTCCCAGCAAACCCAGGTCTGCCCTGCCTGTCAGGGAGGTGTCTCACTGCACAGGCCCCTCCCTCTCCTTCTTTCCCTGCTGCCCAGGGGACCTCACTCAGGGTCTGGCCAGGAGAGGCCATCTTTGCCCCGAGTGCCATCCCACCCTCTCAGCCAGGGCCGGGCACTTCTTTCCCCAGGGGTGGGGGATGGGGGGCACAAATTCACAGGGCATCAGAAGCAAGGTTTTAGGATCAGGACGAGGGGTGGGGGCAGATCTGACAGGCAGATGTGGAAGGAGAGGGATTTTCAAGGGCTGGGTCAGAAGAAGCACAGAAATACAGCACCACAGTCACCAGCGTCCGCATCTCCCTTTCTCCTGGGGCCTGAGGACCCCATGGCTCTTTTCTTAAACAACCCAGCCTCCTAATTACAGATCCCACTGCCTCCGAGAGGCGAGAGGCCAGAGGCCGCGGGAAAGGGCAGGTGTGCGCAGCTCTTCCCGTGACCCGCTGGGCTTAGCACCGCCCCCCCCGCCCCTGCAGCCCCCAGGCCCCAGGCCCCAGGCCCCACTGCCCCCTCCCTCCCTGTCGCGTCGCGTCCGGAACGGGTTCACGTTGTCGCCCGGACAGTCCCCCCCGCCCCCCGCACTCCGGCCCCACTACCTCTGCGCGGTCTCAGTGGTCCCTGAAGCCGGCTGCGGCCATGGCGCTCCAGGCTGCGGCGCCGGAGCAGGCTGGTGGCTGCGCAGCTATTTTTAAGCCATGACACCCACGTCGGAGCAGGGTTCGCAGCGGTGTGCTCGCGGGCGACACGCGGGGACGCGGTGGTCCGAGCGCGCGGCCTGGGCGCCCGCACCCCGCGAGCTCGCCAGCCCGGACCCGGCCGCGCGCCCCGCCTCGGGTACAGGGCCTGCTTGGCCGGCCAATTGGCGGAGGGCGTCGCCCGAGACGCGCCCCAAGTCTCCCCGGGCGGTGTCTGAGGTGCGCACGCTCCGCTCCGCGGAGACAGCACTGACTAATGAACCTTTGTTAGCAGGCGCCACGCGCCGGGGCCTCCACAGACTGAGACATTTTACCCTCAGCACAAGCATACAATGGAGGTATTTTTGTCCTTGTTTTAGGGACGAGGAGACTGAGAGACACAGAGAAGCTAAACAATTTGCTTGGACGCCCCGCAGGGTATTGGGCCAGCTGAGCCTGGAGCCATGGCAATCTGACGCTGAAGTTCACGTCCTTTCCTGGGCTCTCACCACCTGTGGAGAATGTATGGGGCCTTTCCCACCAGCCAGCTCAGCTCAGGCCAACTCTACTCTCCTCAGATTCCTGAGGGAATGAAGCTCCACGTTTTTTCCAGAGCGGGCTTTTCTCCACTTGCCAGCCTCAGGACTATGAAGACCTGAGGGCAAAGGCTGACCTGGGCAGAAGTCCCACCTTTCCTGGGAGAAAGGCAGGAAGCAGAGGAGAGCAGGTTGGGCCGGGTGACGTTATGAAGATGGCATCAACCGTAGCTGAAAGCAGGAATTGAAATCGACATTGCCGGAAGGTAGATCAGACTTTATCTGGTCTCAGGAAGTTCTGGCTCCCAATGACCTCAGCCCCTGGCCAGTTCTGTAGGAAGAGGAGATACCTCCCTAGGGTGTCATCTAGGATTCATTGACCTCTTCTTCTCTGAAGAGGCAAACTTAATTCCTTTTTGTTTTCTTCATGCCTGTTTGGCATGGCATTTTACATAAAGAGACCAAATCCCCATCATTAGAAACAAGGAATTGACCTAAGAAATTTAAGATTTTAATTTCTTTTTTTTTTTTTTTTGGTGCCAGGGATCGAACTCAGGACCTTGCCCTTTGGAGGTAGGTGTCGGAACCACTGAGCTAAATCCCCAGCCCCTAAGATTTTAATTTCTACCATCTAGGAAAGCCTGATTAAAAAGTTGTCACAAATTAAAGTGTGAAAGCACACTCAGTCTCATTTTAAGTGAGAATTTTCCGGAGTTGGTAAATTGCAAGGATGTTGCAGGTATAATTGATTCCAATCTTCCACCACATTTTTGTTTCAGCTCTACATTAACTTTTCTAAAAAAAAAATTGAGAAAATAGAGTTCAAAACCTATCCAGATAAGACCTATTTATAGATAACTATAGGAACTCTCTCCATGGACCAACATCTCCATGAAGACCATTTTCATGGGCCAACTGATAGCCAAAGTGGTTTCATATTTTTCTTTGTAAGTAGTAGGTTTACGATGTTTCTAGGTGGCACCAAACTAAACAAAGGATGAAGAGGAGAAGGGAGGAAGAAATCAATAGGTGGGAGATAATGGAGAAGGCAGACCAGGAAAAGGAAGCGAGGAAAGAGAAATAGTAGGTGGCGGCCATTTACTATCTGTTGACTTCGGGGGCTTCACATGTGCCAACTGTTTAATCCACCCATGTCTTAAGTGGATGGCGACCTCATTGAATCCTTACATCTAGCCATGTTGGTTAATGAACCAGCAGTTAGGATATGGCAGGGCACAGGTTCAAATCCAGGGCTATCTTATTAGAAACCTAATGTTTGAGGACAAGTCTGGGGACTGAGGAGTAGTCAGTGACAGAGGAACTACAACTTAGCATTCAATAGGCCATGCATTCAACCTCCAGAGCTTCAAACAAACATCCCCCAAAGCAAAAAACTAAGATGACACCCTCAACACTAAGCTGAATAAATAAATGAAGTATATAGATAAATGAATAAGTGGATGTGAAAGGCCCTTATAGAGAATCCACATCCACTTACTCATCCATTTCCTTCTTTGTGCTCATAGAAGCTTTTATCAAAGGACCTATGAGCTACATTTACTTCATTTATTTATGTACTTACTTATATCTCTGTTTTCCATAGTTGAGAGCATGAATGGATACACTACACAGGGATGAACAGAACAGAAATGGAAAAATGAAACTATTGAAAGAAGGGAAGAGGGTTGAGGGGTATAGTTCTGAGGCAGATCACTTGTCTAGCTTGTGCAAGGCCCTGGGTTCCATCCCTAGCCCTGCAAATAAATAAATAAATAAAATTTGAAAAGTAGAATAGATTACAAAATGGTTTTGAAAGAAATAATCCTCTCCCATAATTAAACAGAGAGGGAGAAGTTTACTAAGAGTAGAAGACTAGAAAAAAAAAAAGACTAACAAATATATGTTAAACGACAATTCTAACTGCTACCTCTGGACATGGGTTGGTCTTTACATAAACTGGCTAATTTAATCGCCCAAATAGATACCATTAATTCAGTTTTATAGTTGAGGACATAGGTTTAGCATGAAAAGCCAAAGAGCTAAGGAGTGGGTTTTTTTTAAAAAAAATTATTTTATTATTACATTTTAGGTATACAATATAATGACATTCATCTTTGGAAATTTGCACCTTTACATAATCTCTCTTCGTTCTTATTTTTCCCCCTTCCCCTGCCCTCCCTTCAACCCTCCATCCCTCCCTATTTAGAGTGGGTTTGAGCCTACATTTAGACCTAGGACTATTTTAAATCAATACCTGTGCCTCAGACCACTGACGTATATTTAAAGAGAAAAAAATCCTTTTGCCAGGTGCTTATAGAAACTGTGTGTTCCTCACAAGAAAGGAGAGGCTTTCTGGCAATTTTGGCATCAGCCTCGGGTCTCTGTCCCCCAGGGCGTGGCCCCCAGAGGAGGATGGGCAGGTGCTGAGGTCCGGGAAAGGGCCTTCCTTTGCAGAAGAGAAACCTGCCGTCCAGCCACGTGCTGGGCACCGCCACACCCATCTTTCTGGGCCAGGCCACCAGCTGTGCTGCAACAGAGGTCCAGGATGAGGACTGGCTGGGGCCCTCAGCGCGGGATACCGGAAGACTCGTGTTCTTCGAGGGCGCCCTCTTTGGGGATGAGTGATTTTTTTCTTCAACTAAGTCCTTCTTTGGCTTCTTCCTCGGCCTCTATTTAGCACCTCCTCTCCCTCCTGGTCTAGACTGGTGATATTTGTGTGGGTCCCTTCGGGGGCCATCCAACTGTCCAGGGATTTTTCCCTGCCCGAGCTCCTGAGACTTCCGTGGGGGGATGGGCAGGACGACACGACGGCGGGACCTCCGAGTACAGTCTGGTTTGCTTCCACCCAGCTCCTCCCGTGGTCTCTCCTCCCACTCATTCCGTGGCCACTCCTCATCTACCTAAGGACAAAACTCCCTACCATTACGAGCATTAACACATTACTGCAGGGAGCAGACCTTTTTCCCATTAGCATGACGTTGCAAAAGACCAGTGCTCCTCTAGAAATAAACCAAGATTGTTATTTGCAAGTAAAACAAGACACCAAGAGAATATACATTAAATCTCAGCATTATAAAAAAAGAAGAAAAAGAAGAGAACAACATAATATACAGGTTGGAAAATACTGAAAGGCAATATGCCAACTATTAAAAGTTAAAAGAGGTAAACTCTAGCCAGTGTGAGATTACAGATAATCTTTACTGTGCTCTGTAAATTGAAATCCCAAATCTGGTCACCATTTCCCAAATTTTCTACAATCAGTATAAATTAATTTTAAACATCAGTTTTGTGAAACTGAGACTTCCTTGGCCTCGTATGTGGCCAATTTTAGTAAACAAACCATATATGCTAGAGGAGAACATGTAAGGAAAATATAGTCTCTGATTTGAGAATTTCTATTTTTGTCTTCCATTTATCAGTGTTTTAAATAATTTTGAAATCCCTTTTGGGCTTGCTGTATCAGGTTTTGAGAAGGGGATTAAACTCTTCCACATTTGTGGGCTTGTTGATTATTTCTTCTTATTCTGTCAATTTTTGTTTGGGAGAGTACCAAGCTATGTTATTAGATACATGAAGTTCACAGGCATTTCTATTATGAAAAAAAGTAGTTAACAGGCAGTCTAAGACCCAATATTTTTCTTTAAATGATACTCTGTGTGATATTAAAATTGCTTGACTTTTATTATTTGTATTTTTTGTGCATTAAAAAATCTGCCTTTGATATATACCCATATATCATTCTTATATTTTAAGTATAACTTCTATAGACTATTAGTGTATAACTAGATTTAAAAATCAATCTATTTAATTTTTCTTTTCCTTTCATTTATAAAAACCAATCTGCATTTTAATGAATCTCCTTTTATATATATTGTGACTACTGGTATATTTAAAATAATTTCTACCATCTTATTTTGCCTTTTCTATTTATCATGCTGCCTCCTTTTCTTTGATTGGATTTATCTAATTTTCTTTATTCTTTTTATTAAACTCTGTTGATTTGAAAATTAAACAGTCTAAATTTAATTGATATTTTCAGCCTGAGTAAGGCAAGGACTTTCATTTTCTATTTTAATTCCATTTTTTAAAACAGGAAAAAGAACACACAATTTATTACATGCCCAAACATGGAGGCTTAACATAAGATTTAACATAAGATTTATCTTAACATAAGATTTTATGTTACTTTCCGTCTAAAATACCTTTACTCCTATCTTCATTATTATTATTTTTGAGACAGGTACTTCTACAATACTTATTAAAAAATAGTAACCCTACCCCCTAAACCTCTTCTCACTTCCTGGAAGCAAATATGTTGAACAATTTCAAGTGTTTCTTTTAGTGATTGTATAATCTCATATCTCTGCACAATATGTTCATATTGCTATTTCTTGATCTTTCAGCTTTAGACTTTAACTTTATCTATTAATTTCACACTATGAAAACTGAGGATTTTAAAATCTAATCTTCCCACCCCTAGATATATGCAAATATTCCCTTTTTATCTATTTTCTTATGCAGCAATATAATAATTTTATTAAATACTCAAGGCTTAGAATATTAAAACTGTCAATGACTACTCAAAGTT